CATGCGACGGCCGGGCCTCCGACAACATCTGCCAGCTGAAGGCGGTGAGCCGCAAGGCGCTGCAGCACGGCCTGCCCGCCGTCGCCCAGGTCCAGAAGGGAGCCTGTGAATCGGGTAGGAGCATGGTGGGGCAGAGGGCGGTGGGTGGGCAGCGCAGGGGCGCGCCGGCTTCCAGCAAAAGGAAAAATCATGGTTTTCAGTGACCTGGGAAGACTGCGTGGTTGCAGAGAGTCTAAGAGTCTGCAAGGACAAGGTATCTTGCCCAGCTGCCAGTGGTCTCTGTGGCGTGGGGTGTTGAGGTCCTTTTGAATGGCAAAAAAACTTCCTCCTTGGTCATCAGTGAGGGCTGGAGGCATCAGGCTGTGGTTTGGGAAGTTTCCCCTCCGTAGCGTGGCCGGGGACACCTCGGCATTGCGCATGTCGCTGCTGTAGCGCTCCCGTGAGCAGGAGGGGAATGCACCTGACGGCAGGGAAGCGAGCTCGGTGTGGGGCTGTCAGGGCAGGGCAGCAGTGACCTCAGCCATCACCCCTTCACTAGCTTGCTCTCGTCCTGTCAGTGCCGCGCTCGGTTCGTGATGTGGGCACTCACCGCTGAAGAGCTTGGGTGGCCCTGCCCGTGCAGGCTGCTCTCTAGATCCATTGCATCAGGACCTGCACAAGCAGAGCAGGGACCTGGGAATGCTTCTGCTTCCCTGGTGGTGTATGGAAGGTTAATTGGATCCACCTGACAGGCATCTCTGGGCAGAAGATATATCTTGAAGCTATGCAGTTCAAACAGGGCATAAAAAAGAACAACCTAGTATAGTATATACAGCACCTAAAACACAGTATTTTGCCTGCTTTGTTTTCAAAAGAAGTTCTGTAGAGTGGGAAAGTGGGAAAAACTGCCTGCAAGGCTGCTTTACAGTTTAAAATATTGACACAGGGTATCAAATGGTCTTCCTTTTGCAATAACAGCTGCACAGATACTGTGATATGCTGTAGTAGCTTCAGGCTTGATGGTGTAACTTCAGAAAGTTCAGTAAGCATTTAAGTTGGTAATTTATTTCTTTTTTTAAGATGGGACACTTTATGGAAGTATTAGTACTGCTGATATCTGTACTTGCTGACACGTTTCTTAGGGGTTTGCTTCTGCTACCTTTCTCATAGTGTTCTTGGGAAAAAAAGGCACATACATAATGAAGTTTTAAATAATGCATTATGTTCCATTATGCCATGGGAAGCACTATCCATCCTGTTTATCCATAGATAGAAACTTCCCAAAATTAATGGGGAGGTGTGGGAGGATGAGAGGAGCAGTCAGAGGGAAAAGGAATACTTTGTAGTTTTTCTGTGAATGGGAACCTTTCATGTATCATTCTCTTTAAGAGAAGGTAAACTCTGGTGCAGAGAGAGAGACAGTCAAGTGGTGTTTCAGGAGTTCTTTTCGGAGTATCTCCTCAGAGCCAAGAATTGCTCCAGATGCCAGCCTGGAGCTGCAATGATCAGTCTGTCCGGTATTTTGTAGTTATAAATTGCCATTTGCCTGTTCATTTTCACATCAGCATCCATTAGTATTCCTGATACTTGGTGGGAACAGATCCATGTGAAATAATCAGAATGTTTAACCAAAATAAGGGAGCTAGCCTCCATCTATAAGGGCTTACTGAGTGCTTGGGGTTTGGTATATATGACATTTTCTCTAAGGAATCCTTCTGAATCTACTGTTAATAGGCTTAGGAATTTGCACATGTGAAGTAGAGGTGACTATTCAAATGTTTGCTTTATTTTGGCTTTATTTTTTTGTCCCAGAAAACCTCAGCTTAGATGAAGCATCTGGTTCTCTGTTAAGTTTTAATTTTTTTTTATTCAATTCTACAGCTGCACAAACTGAACCTCAAAGAAACCAAGTGTCTTGCCCAAGGTCAGAGTGAGTTGGTGGTTAAACCAGAAATAGAACTCAATTATGGTATTTTATTTTTTTTTAACAATAACATGCAGTGGCTGTAATGAGAGGGTTTAGAATAAAGTCAACAGTTTAAAATTACTGTCAAGTTTTTCTTTTCCCTGTTCTTGAAAGAAATCTTGCCTCAGCTGACTCAGAGTTTGAAGGGCTAAGCTAGTTAGGAAGTTAATCCAGTTTTATTTAACCATACATATATGAAAAATATTTTAGATAACAGTAGCTTTACTTATTGTGACTTAGGCCATTTTCAGAACATGCAATGACCCTGAGGAGCAGCTTTTGAAATGTCTAGTCCTGTCCATTTCCAGTTGCTTATGTTGATGCTAAGCTAGATTCTGGCTGTGATAAACTAAGGCAGGCTGAGAAGACTTAGCTGTGGCTTCCTAGTGACAAGTCTAGTAAAAGACAGTAAAAGATGCAGAAAGGAAGGGAGGAAAGTTGCCCAGGATGACAGAGTGGTAATTCCAAACCTAACAGAATTTAAAATATTTTATTCCTTGTTGAAAGCCTGGATTATTTTGAGTAACACCTTGCCAAGCAAGTTGTAGGTAGTACTCTAAAGGGGGTGTGTACTGCATGGAGATACAGTAGCTCTATCATTGATGTCCTTCAATATGTCTGTGCCCTGAAAATTATTACTCATACAGTCAGCTTGTATGGTAAATACACTGCAAGGTATGGGCTGGAAATACAAACTCCAGTCACATTCCTTTACTGATTGTTTTTCTTACGTCTGAGTTTGTTTTGAGTTCCTTTTGAACTCAAACAGTTTGAGGTGAGGATGAATATTGTTGAGTGTTTGGTAAATACTCAGAGAATAGTATTGCACTGGTTTGAACAGGATGGCTGACAGGAAGGAGATGTTCTCATTGTATCTCCTTCTGAGGGTCACTTGGGAAGGAGGAATATCTAGCATCTGAAGCCAGCAAGGCAGTGAGGTGTCTGTGCTGGAAGGCTTGTGTCGCTCTGTCTCCGTCTGGCCGCTGTGATTGCTGCACTGCACACAAAAGCCACTTTGCTGTTGGTTCACCAAATTGTTTTCATCTGCACACAGCAGACTTCCATTGTATAAACAAGTTGCCTGAACCATAATGTGGCACTAAACTCACCAAGGCTATATGGTCAGTGCACAGCTATGCAACTTGATCTTAATGCTGAAGTCATCAGAAAAGCTGCCCATGAACCTATGTTTCCAGCAGATATTTCTGTTTTTGAAGCAGAGACATTATAATCTTTTATTTGTCTTTCATTTCTTTCCATGAAAGCACAGTAGGGACAGTGTTTATCCCTGGTGATCTGATCTGCCAGGTTGCAGTCCTCCCTTAGACATAATAATTTTCCTGAACATGGATCTTTTCTGAACCTGGTTTTAAGACAGAAGGGGGGAACCTCCTTACAAGAAAGTGTTTCCCAGGTTTACAGATTCTGAATGAGTATAAAATTGTGGATTTTAATACAATGTATTGTCTTTAAGATAAAGTATTGAATGTGAGTTGGTCTAACACTACATGCAGTAAGCTGGCAGATATTCAGACACTTTTAGTATTCTGCAAATGTAAATGGGTCTAGCTTTATTGACTTCAGTGGGATTATGATTATTTATTTCTGCTCATATTTATTTCTGCTCATATTTTATCAGTTTTCTGTGTACTGGGTTGACTGCAAATTAGTTGGAGTTGCTCCTGATTCACAGCAGTGTTAATGAGATTGGAGTGGATCTACTGGCTCTGCAAAAAAGTAAATAAAACACTATTAAATGAACTCGTAGCCTGGAGCGAACACTACTATGCAAGAAAAGTCTTAAGCTGTTAATAAAGATACTTCCACCTGGCACTTAGCTTTAGCCATGTAAATACAATGTAGTAGGAGCCCATAGAACTGGAAACATAAGATCAAATGTTACAAAACAGATTTGAACATCTTTAACTCCAGTTTATGCACTTACATCCAAGTTTCTACTTTAAGTGTTCTATGAGAGGAGCTGGAGAGCTTCTGAATATCTAATAACTTACTTGAAGTGACAGGATGAAAATCTGGTTCATTTGTGACTATGGATCAGATTGGGAAAAGTTAGTTCTTTTGAGCAAGAAATGTGTGAACAACTGAAGACTCATCTAGCATACATTTCATTTCAAGTACAACCTGATTGCAGCACTTTTAATATTTTGGTTATACAACAGATAGTTAATTGGATTAAATCATGGCTCTTTTCCAAGATAACTTAGATTTGGATAGTGTGAGATGATACTGAACATGCATTAATGCCATGGAAAATAATGGATGTTATTGAGACATTTTTGAAGTTTCTACTTTAAGTGTTCTATGAGAGGAGCTGGAGAGCTTCTGAATATCTAATAACTTACTTGAAGTGACAGGATGAAAATCTGGTTCATTTGTGACTATGGATCAGATTGGGAAAAGTTAGTTCTTTTGAGCAAGAAATGTGTGAACAACTGAAGACTCATCTAGCATACATTTCATTTCAAGTACAACCTGATTGCAGCACTTTTGATATTTTGGTTATACAACAGATAGTTAATTGGATTAAATCATGGCTCTTTTCCAAGATAACTTAGATTTGGATAGTGTGAGCATGCATTAATGCCATGGAAAATAATGGATGTTATTGAGACATTTTTGAAAAAATACTTGGCAAATCTCAATAGGTCAAAATACAAAGTTGCTGTCAACTCAGAGCTTATACATTCACAGACCAGCAGAGGTCTGAGAGCTTTGTGAAACTCTGCAAGACAGCAAGAATATCTTGGGTACAAGGGGGGGAAATCAAGACAGAAAAATACATGTGTTTAATTTTATGTTTTAGTGAGAATAGGAGCAGCAGCTAATGTCTAGCAACTAATGCAAATTACAGCATAGACTGAAGGTCTGACACTAAGCCCTGATTCTACTGCTACAGTTAAAACACTTGTTTTCTGGGTGACCTTACACAACTTACATAGTATTAGATGTTGCTTCCTTTTTCAGTTTCTCAGGCTGGAATTCCTCCCTCTTAAAGTATAGTGATAACTTTTGATTAAAACAATTTTCAGAAAATTATTCAAAAGAGATCAGTTTCTGTGAAGACATCGCAACTTCCTAAATCTGTTTTCACCAGTATTTAGTCCCCAGCAGACACTAGTAAGAACTGCTCATTTCTAATCAGACTAGTAGATCTTCAGCTACACCTTTTTTACAAAACTTGTATGTCTGTTATTCTTGATCCTCCTTTGTTTCAAATTTGCCCTTCATATTTGAATCCATCTTCAGGTTTGAGTATTCTTGTCTTCTCATCCCAGCAGAGAGGTTCTAGACTTCTGCTCAGACTCAGAAATACTTCACTATGATATGGAAACAAGACAAGATTTGCCTCAGTCTCCTCTCTCTATTGCTGCATTTTATTTTCTTTGACTCTTGCTGTTTTTACATTCATCCACTACCTCTTTAAGAGCTTTTTCTCTCTACCTACCCCAAATCATACTAGGAAAGCCACTGCTCATGATGTTTCCTTGGTGGCTAGTCAGGAGTGGTGCAGAACTGAGTTCTTCAACAAGCATCCTCCTTTCCTTTTGGCCATGTGTAATGCTGGGACAATTTGACATGGGCTGAACAGTTCAGCACTCAGCAGATTCAAAGGGATTTAGTTGCCCTGATTCACATAGAGCTATGCTGACTTACACCAACTGAAAGCCTGCATTCATCATGCCTTTTTCCTCCAATTCTATTCTAATTCACCAGCTGAGGGTCTAGCCAACTGTCTTTCATACGTATGTAGTAATTTCTATTAAGAAAAATGTGATGATAATGTGATTTCACATCAGTGAACACCACTGTGTGTGCAAGCATTCAAAGTCATGTAGTAGACTTCAAAGGATGTATTGCATTGTCAGGCAAGCTGCTTGTGAACTGAAGGTAAGATAAATCTTCAGTGGCCCAGCCACAAAAAGAAGTGACAGTATATTGTGCTTACGTTTGACTGTAATTCCTGTTTGCAGTGTCTCATAAACTAAGTACTAGAACAAACATATTCAGTTGCTTAGAGGGATTTTTCAGAGTGCATGGGAATGTACATAAAAATAATAGACAAAATCATCTAGTCCTGCCAAGTTTTTCCTTCTGTTTATACCGCATCATATAAATTTAGCTTGTTAAATGTAAGCATGATTTCTTTCCCCTCAGAAGTAAATACCATATCCAGTAACAGGAAAAAGAACTCATGGAGAAATGCCTAATTGTCTTGGTTTGGTCTCTTCAGTGCTTTCTTCGTTGGTACCAGTGTTGGGTTCCTTCTCTATGTTACTCTCTTTGTTTCAGGTCTTCTGGATACTGTTGTAATATAAGGCCTTTTTACTTTCTGATTTTGTAGGTCCCTTAACACTTCATTGTGAAAGCTTTCTGAGAGACTATAGAAACTATAACAACTAGTTCTCTATCACCCACTACCTTATGAATTCATTCAAATAATAGAATGAAACAGTGAGACATCTTTTTTTTGTAAATAGGTTAGGATAGGTTAGGCCCCGTTGTACTTTAATATTTATATTCAACCCAAGTAATTTACAAGTTAAAAGGTTTAATGGTCAGTAAACACCTGTAGATAGGGATTGGTGAAAATTATGTCTGAATTAATAACTACACAGAATACCAAAATGTGTGAGAACATTCTTAAATGTCTGCCTTCTTTCTTTTTCCTTTTTTTTTGTGATGCCTCCTACCTACTTTCCCTTTAAATACTTGAGTGAAGAGCAGCTGATGAAAGAAAGGTACACACTTTCAAAAGACAGAATCTATATCTGGACTCACTACATGTGATATAGAAATGGGCAAATCTAGAACCCTTAAAATCTGGTGTTGACTTTGTTTGCAAGATCTTCTGTGGAGTAAGTTCATATTTCAGCATGAGTTGAACTCAGAGCAAATCAGTATGGTGCAAAGCATCACTTCTGGAGAGTTGATATTGTTTAGAAATTAGAACTTACAAGCCTCTCTCTCCTGACTAAATGGCAGAAAATAATTGTATTTCCTGGGATGAACAGTGTTCTGCTGCCTCAGATTTGAAAAAAGCCAAAAATGTTATTGCTGTATCTGATTACAGGCTGTGAACATGGAAGATTGCTATTGGAGTGTGGCGATACCTTCCCTTACATATGTTTGCTATACATGGTAACATGTCCCCATGTATTAGGGATTGCAGATAAGAATGACATTCTACCACAAGTAGTATTATTACTTTGTGATGTTGCAATATTATAAGGCAGGATGTTGTGGACTTTTTTCCCTCTCTTCAAAGATTTTTCTTCATGCTACAGAAGGATATTCAGTATTTACAAATGCTGTGTATAGTGCTGTTTAATGTAGTACCACTCTGGCTTTTATCAGAGTGCTTAGTGTTTAGTAAGCTATTGTTATGCCATAGGCTTCTGACAGCTTAAAAGTGAGTTTGCAAAATTTCTTAGGTGCAAAGGCTCTAATTTACACCAGGTTTCAACATGTAGTTCCCAAATGCTGCAGCTGCGTTTACTCAGCACTTGTTAGACCACTTCTAGAATACTGCATCTGGTTTTGGACCCCTCAATACTAGCAAAGTATTGACAAACTGAAGTGAGTTCAGGAGAGGGTCATGAGGGTGCTTCAGGGGACTGGATATATCTTCCGGGAGAAGCTGAGAGGACTGGGCTTGTTCAGCTTGGAGAAGAGACACCTAACAGATCCCTCCTGTGTCCATGAGGAAGCTGTCAGGAAGATGGGACTGAGCTCTTTACAGTGGTGCATGGTGGGAGCATAGGAGACAAAGGGCATGAGTCAAAACAGGAGTCTCAATAAGAGAGGTTCAGACTAGATATAAAAAAAAGTCTTTTACCTCATGGAGGACAGTGAAGCAGTGGGAAAAGTCATCCAGAGAGTTTCTCCATCTTTAGATGTTTGCAAGTCCAGCTGGACAGAACCTTTGAGCAACCTAGTCTGTCCTTGTAGCCAACCCAGCTTTGAGCACAAGGTTGAACTAGAGACCTTCTGGGGTCCCTTCCAACCTGACTTATCTATGACCCTATATGTTTTGGATAATAAATAGTAGTTGTCTCAGGAAAAATACTAGAGACAAGGCTTGTAGACTTACAAGAAAGTACAAGAAATTATAGTTGAGTGATGCTCATGTGTACGTTTCTTAGAATCACGCAAAATGGTGGGTAAGTTTTGAACAACCTTAATGAGTGTGATTCCTTTTCCAATACCTGTTTGGAAGCTATCCCAGTAGGAGAAATAGACCAAAGCCTATTTATCTCACCTACTTGGTCAAAAAGTGTATTGTCTTATTAACATATCCAATTCTTTCTGCTAGTATAGGTCACCTACAGTCCAGCAGCCCAAGATACAAATTCAACTTCATAGCAGATGTGGTGGAAAAGATTGCACCTGCAGTTGTCCACATTGAACTTTTCCTCAGGTAACACTTTCAATTCTATGTGTTTTAATTGTATTGTTTAAGAAAATTCTACAAAGTTTTTCCATTGTAGTAACTTTCATTCTGAATTCTTGAAGTTCACAAAGTACTCTGAAGCACTACAGCACACTCTCCACATCTGGAGAACTAGCCATCTGCATATTTAGTTCCTGTTTAGATCTATTTTATTTGGCTTACAGTGTTCATAGTACTTCACAATTCTTACTATCTGCCATAAAATAAGTCTGTCTCATCTTTGGAGGTCTCTTCAGCCACCACTAAAATATGTTGCTTATTGGATTATGTTTGTTATCTCAGTTTAAAATAAAACAAGTCTAGAAGGTAACCTGGAAAAATATAGCTCCTTATTGTTTATTACCCTTTCAGTGAGAAGTGATTTTATTTTGGCATGGAGAACATTAAGAGGCAGCATATTGGCCAGATGTAACCTATCTAAACACAGAAATTATTTCTGATTGGAAAAAATGTAGGACATTTGCTGACCAAACCATACCAATATTTAATGTACTGAAGCTGGAGCTGAGGCAGGAAATTAATTAACGTTGAATGCTCAAAACAATCTGGGAGGCAGGTTCATCATTAAGTGCTCAAACCAACCTGCTGTCAAAATAAATTACTGCAAATACAGTCTGTACTCCATTACCTGAATACCGTTCTGCTTGGAGCACTCTAATTTTGCATAGCCTCGAGAATTTATTGGATAACATTTTATAGGCTTTTTTAATATGAAAGATTGAGATAATCAGGTTTTCTGAGACATAGCTTCATGCACAGGGTGATTGGTCTTTTGAGAGAATATTACAGTTGAAGATGTTGAAGAACTTTGCATATGATTGTTTGCTCTTTCCCTGTAAGTAAATGTTTTTCCAGCAGCCTGCTGGGTGCTAACTGTGATGCTGCCTTCTGCCTGGGATTGGCTCCAATTCTTTACTGCTAAATAGCCTGGAACTTTGAAACAATTTCCTAATAAGGACCACATCTTTAAGGAAAGAAGAATTTGTGGACCTTTTCTCATCTTCTACTGACCAGGCACTTTCTGTTCCCCTAACAAATCTAAGGTCATTACAGCAATTGTTCATAGAGAAAAGTCATAATACTTTAAACTGTTTATAAAGTCTTTTAACTGTCTATATTGCAGCAAATGTTGTTTCCCACAAAGTTTTACCCATTGTTAGGGTTTTTTATTTATTTTCTTTCACATTCCCAGTCCTTTCAGTTTCCAGACATGGTTTTTCCTGCCAGCCTACACTTGGGCTGCATGAGATGTCACTTCTTCCTGTACTCCCCTGTACAGCTGCAAGTTTCCTTCTTTTACCCGTTTTCCTATTAGAGGGTCAGTCCATTTTTCTGCTTTATTTCCTGGCTTTTTTCTTCCTGTGTAGAAGCAGCAACCAGTGGGATCAGATGAGCTCCTCCTTCATCCCTTTTTGTCACCTAGCCTCTTTGCAAGAAAGCCTATAAAGATAGAATTTGAAACCCAAGGGAAAGGATGCTGTGGGTTGTCTGAAAGCCTCCATTCCCATCTCCCTGGCTGACTGAAAGCAGTCACAGTTTTCAGAAAATTAACCCTTCTTTGTAATTTTTTAAAAATTTGTTGTTTTGTGTTTTTTTTTTTGTCAGGGTTGTAACATTGGTCACCAAATGCTTTGTTATTTCTCAGGGTGAAAGGCAGTACATGATTTCTAATGTAATTTTCTCTAAATTATGCTTCCCTTATGAGTTATAGTTACTACTTTTTGTACAGGCACCCTCTCTTTGGTCGAAATGTTCCACTTTCCAGTGGATCTGGATTTATTATGTCTGATTCTGGTTTAATTGTGACCAATGCCCATGTGGTGTCAAGCACCAATGCTGTATCAGGGAGACAACAGTTGAAAGTGCAGCTACAGAATGGAGATACCTATGAAGCAACCATCAGAGACATTGACAAGAAATCTGACATTGCAACAATAAAGATTCACCCTAAGGTGAGTGGCGTAAAAGGTGGAGGGATTAATTTGGGAACTATGTTTAGTTTAGCAAAGAGTGGTTGGCTGGAATATATGTTTAGGGATGGAAATTTATCTGGGGAAAACAATGTAATGAACAAACTACTTCTGTGGGCCTGGAATTTTTACGTATCTTAGAATTAAATTACTTTGTCTTCTCTGCTAGCAACTGCTAAAAAAGATGGGGAAACACTGTAGCTCAGTTAATGTGGCCAGATTCTGCTGTCTTTACCTAAAGACTGAGGCTATTTGGTTGATCCTTCTAGCTTTGTGCCAATACACGGACTGCAAGTTGGTACATAGTGCAGGGTGAGTGGAAAGCTGGTCAATAGCTGGTTTGTGAGGTATTTTGAGGAGGGGGAAAGAACAGTCTGCTGGAAAACAGAGTCACAGAATTTTTTGAGTTGGAAGGGACCTTAAATAAATATACGGGGAAATCTGTTTAGAATCTTGCTGGCTTTTTTTTTCCGGATGAAATTGAAAGGTGATGCTACTAGCAGTCTGTTTCTGAAGAAGCATTAAAGCAGCAACACTGCAGTGTGCTAATTCTACCTGGTGTAAGTTTTCAGTATATGATAGTGCTCCTTCACTAATGTAATGTGGAGTCTGTGTTCCCAACTTCTTGCTAGTTTTTGACCTTTCCAATCAGGTTTTTTTTGGGATATACATTCATGCTTATTTCTTGCTGTTTCTGTTTGTTTAAGAAAAAGCTACCAGTGTTGTTACTGGGACACTCTGCTGATCTGAGGCCAGGAGAATTCGTGGTGGCAATTGGAAGTCCCTTTGCCTTGCAGAACACTGTGACAACAGGTATTGTCAGCACTGCTCAGAGAGATGGCAAAGAACTTGGCCTGCGGGACTCGGATATGGATTATGTTCAAACAGATGCTATTATCAATGTAAGTACTAGGTATGTGGTGAGCTAAGCTTCACAGCCATGGGACCATGAAACCCCCACCTATTCAGCAGGGAAGTGTGTGCTCTGAAAGATGAATCTACTTAATTGAAGCAGCTTTGTTTAAAATCGATGATGGGCTCTTCTTTTTATAAAAGACTATGAAGTGTCTGTAAGTTGTGTTCAGGCATTAGTGTTGTGAAAGGTATGTTAAATGAAACTGCCCTCTTTGAGGCTGGCTGTGAAGATATTGCATAGGACAGACCCTTATTCTATTGATCCTGTGCAGTAGCACAGAGTTGCATAGACCAGCAGTAAATGAGCACCTTTTTCTCTCTGCTGCTTCAGCTGATCTGTCGAAGAAAGATGTACAATAGAGACAAGGTTTCTTTCATCTCCATGTATTAGAAGCAGATGGAGTAGTCAAGTTGATAGTATCTGCTTCAATTTATAGACAGGACACCTAGTAACAACTCATAAGTTGGGGTTTTTGCTGTTCTTGTTTTCCACTTGCACATCACATGCTTCAAGTAAGAATCTAGATGTAAAATAACAAAGTTTGAGACAGTTTGGAGTTAAGGGTCCTAGCACTGAATGTAGTATAGAAATACATGAAAATAATATATCCCTTCAGCTTGGAGGGATCCCAGCATCTTAAGTAAAGTCTTTGCATGTGTATAAAACTTTTAATGATTCTAAAAAGAGCACTGCATATGTATCTGAGGTAGATAATGGCCTGAAATTTTGAAGCTTAAATCTGTTACACATTGAAAGGAAAATATTTTCAACATTTATTTGCTGGACCTCAATATCAAATTTGACATAACAAGTCATAACACAGTTTTTTACACACACAAAACGCTTCACAAATATCATCACAGACTTGATGAGATAAATGGTATGGAAAAAAAGAGGGTAATTACTTCTTGAGCTGTGATATAAAAGCGAGCTTTTTTAAAAAAGCTCCTGTATGATCCAGGATCTGAAACTCAATACATTTAACTGGAATTACTTTTTTCAGTTGTGAAAGGAGAGTAGGGAAAAGCTATGCAGAATGGATTACTCAGGAGCACACATTCAATTGGTGGCAGAGACAGAACATGGGATCCTTGACTTCAGGACTATATGCTTTCCCCAAGATCAGACTGCTTCCTTGTATATATTTAGGCATTCACTGCCCTCAATAGCTAATGAGCAAGTTTAGGCAAGTGTGACAGATAATGTTAGACCAAATGGAATAGCGACAGTAGAGGAGGTAAGGAACATGACAATGTATTTTAATTACTTTGCCATCTGAGACAAAAAAAATGAGGATAATCCCTGGCATAGGGATGCTTTGTGCTTAGCTAATGCACTAGTTTTCTCCTGAGAATGGGAGGAGTTTGAGATCTGGTCTATTCAGAGCATTCCTGTGGCTCAGCCAAGACTTTCCTTCAGGAATGTGCATGCAGCTGCCTTCTGAGAAATGCTAGAACAGCAGGAACATGGGGCAGGAGAAAACAGGCCCATACGTTCCTAAATGGAGTTATACTGCATGTGCCAGAATTCTTTTATTATCCCATCCTTCAAGCAGAAGACAAGTGAATAGAACATAATATGCTGCAGAAAGGTGAAAAATCATTATATTGGTTCCTTTGTGTCAGTCCAACACAAAAATCAAGTGGGTAGCCTCTGACCACTGAAAAGATACAGTGTAAGAAACTGGTATCTTTGTTGACTCCAATTTGAAGCTGTTTTAAAAACTTCAGTGTCTGTTTCATTCTTCTGTGAATCTATAAGGTTTCCCAATGCTATCAAACTGTAAACAGTTTATATGGCTCATGCTGCTGTCATGCATCACTTCACTTTTGTTTGTTTTGAGTGGTAAGTTGCTGCTCTTGGCTGTTCAGTAGACCTACTTGAAAACTCTGGCCTCAATCAAAAACAAACTTATTGAGCCAACATGAAGATGGACACAGAACTTCAACTCCCATTTCCTGTAGTCCTGATGCATGCTTCCTTTGAAGGCCATTAGGTATTAGGCAATTTCAGATTGCTCAGAGCTGCTATATGCCTGCCCTAGAAAGGACTGCATGTCTGTTTTTATTAAATTAGTCCTTACATAACACCTACCTCATAGCAATCTGCAGTGATTAAAGACATAAAGCACTGTGTTTTCTGCAGAAGAGTAAAAGACTGACAGATTTACAAGCCAAACTGATGAATAAACTACATAAGAACTGTGCATACACCTCACTGAAATGCAACTTTAAATATAAATTAATTATTTCAAAACCTTGTTCTGACAACTTTTAGAAGCACCAAAATACTTGTTTTAATTATCTAATGATTCTTCTTAAACTTAGGGTCTAACTATTTGGAGCGGTAAGGTGCTTCTCCTAACTTGAGGCCTGTTTCTGGAAAGAAAAAAAAAATCTAAGAGATGTGAACAGGTAGGATAAGACCTACCTGTAAACTTCTGTGGTACTTCAGTCCTGCCTAAGAAATGACCTGCTCTCTTTCATTTGCTTACCGACAATCTACTGCTTGAAATGAAAACTGCATTTTCTACAGTGAAACATCATTTTATTATTTCCTTATGTCATTTTTACAGTATGGCAACTCTGGAGGACCTCTAGTTAATCTGGTAAGTCCATGTGATTTGGTTTTAGCTTTGTTTTATTTCAAGAACTAGCTTGAAACAAGTGGGAGAACAACTTTTTTCAAAGATTCATAGGTCATACCAGCTTTCAGTCATTCTAGGTAATGGCAGGCAGATAGCCTGAATCTAAGGCAAACTGAAAATTAGGTCCCCATTCATACACCATTGAAAACATTTCCCCATAGAACAAAAGAAAGGTTACACAGCAACAAGAAGAATGGGATCTGGTAGGAGCAGTTACGCTCGTTCACTCTATGAAGCCTGGGACACATGGCAAAGATGGGACCTGGTTAATCTGCACAGCTGATTTCAGAATGGATTACTTTGAACCAGCACTGATTTTGCAGGCTGGTGAATTGTGCTTGTAGTGGTAGTAGTGACTCACTGGCTGCTCAGTGGAGAGTATCTTGCCAAGTGGTGGCATGAACCTTGAATGAACAAACTGTACTGTAAGCAATTTGGCCATCAGAGTTAAATGTGAAAGGGATTGTGAATCAGAGCCCAGATCCTCCCTTACAAGTCATGTTTATTTCCAGAGTGATTACAACACTCTAAAATGTCTCAAGCCAGTTTTTAACATGAAACGCTAGCAGTGAGCTGAGGCCTGTCAACTTAGAAGCAAATTAATTGGGTGCTGTCTCTCAACAGGATGGTGAAGTTATTGGGATTAACACCTTGAAGGTCACAGCTGGAATTTCTTTTGCTATTCCTTCAGACCGCATCACTCAGTTTCTCACCGAGTCGCATGACAAGCAGAGTAAAGGTAAGGCAAGAAACAGAGACATCTTCCAGTTATTTTCGTGATACTTTTGACACTTGAAGTGCCAAAAGACATGGCTCTGGATTCCTATTACTGGAAGGAGCAGCATTATTTTACAGTATATAACACAATATACTTGGAGATAGAAGACAACTTCACAGAAGTGGGAGAGAGGTTTTATTACTGCAACCTCTAAAGAACAGACAGGGTCAGTATAAATCTGGGAAAATGGGCCTGTGAGGACACAGATGAGTCTGTACAGTCTCAAATGCTCTTGAGAACAGCTGGTGACTTGTTCAAGGACTCTCATCCTCCCCTTTTGTATACTGTCCAAGCAGAAAGGAAATTAAGGTGTACTGTGGAGAATAAGGTAAAAACTTTTAAAAACACTTGTCCACTGATAGTGCACACTACCATTCTATCAGTGGATTATCTTTATTTTGCCATGATCAGGTATGTCAGGGCTCTATAATTGGATACTGTGACTCTCAGATGCCAGTGGAAGAAGATCTGTGTGCTAATTACAGAAGAAATACACGGGGAAGGGTGGGAGAGGCAAGAGAAAAAAGAAGCTTCTGCCTGTGATAAGAGTAGTGTTTCCCAAGGGTCAGTACTGGGACTGGTGCTATTTAACATCTTCATTGGCGACATGGACAGTGGCAGTGACAGCACCCTCAGCAAGTTTGCTGATGACAAAGGGTGTGGTGAGGTTGACACGCTGGAGGGAAGGGATGCCATCCAGAGAGACCTTGACAGGCTTGAGTGGTGGGCTCCTGTAAACTGCATGAAGTTCCACAAGGCCAAGTGCAAGGTTCTGCACCTGGGTCAGGGCAATTCCAAGCACAAATATAGCCTGGGGGGAGAATGGATCAAAAACAGGTCAGAGGAGAAGGGCTTGTAAGTGATGGTGGATGAGAAGCTCAAAATGAGCCAGCAATGTGTGCTTGCAGCCCAGAAAGTCAAGTGTTCTGGGCTGCATCAAAAGAAGCATGGCCAGCAGGGCCTTTAACAAGCTGTCGTGTGACCACACCTGGAGTACTGTGTCCAGTTCTGGAGCTCTCAACGTAAGAAGGACATGGAGCTCCTGAAGAAAGTCCAGAGAAGGTTCACTAAGGGGATCCAAGGGCTGGAGTACCTCTCCTACAACGGCAGGCTGAGAAAGTTGGGGCTGTTCAGCCTGGAGATGAGAAGGCTCTTGGGAGACCTTATAGTGGCCTTCCAGTGCTTGAAGGGGCTACAGGGAAGTTGGGGAGGGACTGTTTACAAGGGCTTGTAGTGAGAGGAAAAGAGGTAATAGATCAAAACTGAAAGAGGGGAGATTTAGGTTAGACATTAGGAGGAAGTTCTTTGGTGTGAGGGTGGTGAGACACTGAAACAGGTTGCCCAGGGAAGTTGTGGAAGCTCCATCCCTGGAAGTATTCAAGTTCAGGTTTGATGTGGTCCTGAGCAACCTGATTTAGTGGGAGGTGTCCCTGCCCTTGCGGGGTAGTTGGGACTAGATAATCTTTAAGGTCCCTTTCAACCCAACCCATTCTCTGATTCTGTGAAATGTACCAGCAGCTGACAACTGCAGTACTTGACTCTTTTTATGTCCCTGCCTCATATCTGGCACCCTGTACAAAGTGTCATTCTACATGCTAGGCAGCCAAAGCTAATCTAGTAATGGTTCATCCAGGCCAAGCCTTCCTTTCTCTTTTGCTTGCCAGTTTATCTGTCCGCACCCTGCTCATCTTGTATCATGACTGTTGGCTGCTTCTTCTCTTGAATCTTGATAATAATCTTGTCTTCTGAGTTCATCCAGTTGCTGATGCCAGGGTTCTCTCCCTACACCATTGTCCTTTCAATATTCTCTCAGATACTGTTACTACAGAGACTTCTCTCAGTCAGAGGTTTTAAAGCTATGCATCTGGTCTCATATTTGAGACCATCACAATTCTGATGGTTCCCCTCATCTGTGTTTTGCTGGATTCCCCAGATTATTTTCTCTTGTTGATTTTGGGGAAGGGAGGTTAATGGAAAAAGCTGTTCTGATTGTTCTGAAAAGTACATTTCAAAGTAGCTGACATAATTTTGTTTCAGACAGCAAGTAAAAAACCCCTATTTATTCACTCACATTGTTAAATGTTTGTTGACTGCTGAGAGAAGCAGATCTATCATTGGTGATGACACCCTTCAGAACCAAACTGCTCATCTCAAAACAGGGGGGAGGGATGGCTAACCCTGTAGGTGTGGCTCCAGAGGCATCAACCCAAGCCTTGTGCTGAAATTCTGCCATTTGCCAGGGGGTTCCTGGTAACTGGGGCTGGAAAGTCTGTGAAGGCTAGAGGTGCCACCACTGAAATCAGCCACCTTGCTCTGTCAGGCACCTTTGCCTCCAGTGAATGATGAACCTAGCTCAGCTAGAGGAGGCCTAGAGATAGCTTTGCCTATAGAACCCTAAGGAGAAAAGAAAAAGAAAGATTTGAGTTTATCTTTTGATTGTAACATACTGTCTGGTTTTTAAAAAAATAATTTTTATTATCCCCTAATCAAAAGAAAAGGATTTACACTTACATCAGTGTGACTGTCATTGCTTGGCACACCCTGGCCACAGACAGTTTTTAATTTCTTTTTTTGCTTGTCTGAAGTACCTCTTGTAGTGTTGCTGCAGGGTGAAGTGTTTTAAAGCCCTTGATGCATAGAGCAAGAGAATGTCTAGGATGTATTTTCACCGTATTTGAGACTTAGTTTGCATTTTTTAGGCCTTTAGTAATAGTTTTCAGGTTTGTTGCACAGACATTATTTCTTGACATAAGCAATTTATGTAAGCTGAATTTTTGGGATGTTTTAATTATGTTTTCTTTTGCTCCAGTTATGTTTCAGTAGTTTCAGTGGGATCCACCCTTATGGTACAATTAGGTCATAAAAATAAACTTAAGGGTATTACCATTTTGCTGTAAAAATCATATTGCCTGAAGAGGATAAAATTCCCTTAGGAAACTGCACTTCCCAGATTTACTCTGGCATAAAGAAGATACTCAAATATTGTTTAATGAGCTTGACCTTAGTCTTTTAAACTTAGTCAGTTGACCAGACAACTACCAGTTTGATATAGAAGGCATGTATTTTTGAAGTCCTATCCATTGTATATAATTGTAAATTATGATCTACTGAAGTACAAGAGGGAATGGGGGAGAAAAAGGAGAGGATGGCATTTGAATTAATTATTTGCTTTGATTATTATTATCTAAACATTCTATATTGCCTAATGCATGAGTAATAATAATAACTAATGTATTTTTAACCAAATATTTACCACACTCTGCATAAAGATAATTATCTGTTGAATGTCCTGAGAAGCTTTGCTAATTTTGGGTTTATCACTAATAATATTAACCTCCTTTTATAGCTAGGAATTCCCAAACTGGTGCATGAAGTTAAGTGTCTCATTCTACATCTCAGTATTAACCATCTGTGTATTCTGTCTTTACCTCTGGAAGTCATGTATATGCTTAAGCATTGACTGATTTATTTATTTTTTTTACATCAGTGTCTTTTGTTAGTATCCTATAGGAATTTCTCTGTTGCAGTCTTTGACATTGGTTTCTGGCTCAGACTTGAGCAGAACAGTAAACTAGAAAATGTTCCAATGTGGATCCTCTAGAATGGAAGACAGAAATTAATGATTTGACAAAATATTAAGAAGAAACTCCAGCCTTCGAGGCGATCTAAGTGCAAGAGGAGTGAGCAGAGAAGTTTTGCCTGCCATGTGAATAGAAAGTGCAGAATTTGTTTCTTCGCTTGGAGATCTTGGCGATATCCTGGCCCCACTGAAATTAACTGTATTGGAATACTAATGTGCCAGAGTTACTCATGTCCATAAGAATCTGAGTACCTGACCCCTTAATTTGCTTTTAAATTAGCAATAACCAGCAGCAAATGTGGTTAATGCAGACAGTAAGTAAACTGTCACCAGAGAGTCTGTCATTTGTGTCTCATGAAGACAACTTCATTGTTTAACTATCCACATTACAAGGACAGGGGGATTATTTTCAGGTGGGACAGTTATCAAGTTTGGATATTTTTAAAAAGTGGAAACTTAAATTTATGCCATGTAGACTAAAGAAGGACTATGAGAGCACTAGTTCCTGGCCATGCCCAAAGCTTTTGATGTGTTAATTTTGAGTAATTGGACTTCTTCTGATTTTGATCTCACTTTAAAATACACAAGAACAAGAACATTTCAGAGAAAAGCAGACGTAAGTTGTTCAAAGTGTAGTAAATCCAGTCTAGTAGTTGATGTTTTCACTGACACTAATGGGAATATTGGACATTTGTAAGGTTCAGGAGTAATTCCTTTACTTGGGGCTATTTTTCTTGGAAAGAATAAGAGTTCAAGGATGCTCTGTACATATCCTTTTCAAACTCCTCACATGAGAACATGGAGAAGCTCCAGTACTTATGCTGGAGCAAGTACGGGGAAATATTTCTCACACCGGATATAAGTAACTACCAAAGCACTCACTTCAGGAAGTCATCAGGCTGCATTTTTTTCATCAGACAGCTGTGCAACATCATGACTGCTAAAAGTCAACTACAGAAATACACTGCTGTTCCTAAAGGAGTGAATTTTCACCACTTAAAATTCGGTGGTGTCCTGGCTAAAGTCTATAGTTTTTTTAAAACTTGCTTTTTATTCTTTGGGGTAGAAATAACAAGCTATTTGCATTAGAATTGACGTAAGTCTTTTGCTTGTCCTTTCTCCAAAAGGTGGGAATTTTAATTTCTTTAAATCCCGTTTCTACATTTTAATGAGAACACCATATGATTAAGTTGTCTTGACCAGTTTCAGACGAAATGGTGGTTAAGAAATTTTCCATTTACTGAAGTCATGTGATACTAGATCACAGAATTTTTCTGAATTTCCTGAAGGAAAACTTTTATGGAGTGTAAATGACCTTCTCACTTTCAGAGGGAGGGATTGTCCTTCTGTACACCAAGGCTAACCAAAATATAAACTGAACTCAGCATAGATGTGTATGAATTCTGTTTATAGTTTTGTTAGCAGCTGATATGTCCTGTTTTAGTTGCCAGGTATTTTGGGCCATCAATGTAGTAATGTTTGTCAGTGTTTGCCTAAAATTTCTAAACATGCTTTATGTTACTTTCAGATGGGAAGAAACGTTACATTGGCATCAGAATGCTGACAATAACACCTGCGTGAGTATCTTTCTGATAAGTAAGATCTGTATGATCTTACATACAAACATGACCCCTAAGTGTGGTCAATAGTGGTTCAGAACTTCATCGTTCAGCTTTCATTACAAATCTCCAAAGAATTCAGAAGTGTGTGTTAGCTTCTATATAGTCTGCACACATTTTAATAGTATTGGTGAAATACATGTTCTGAGACCTGGAAAATTACTGTCAGTCGTTCTCTAAATATGGATAGCAATGGAAGCCCTGTTGATAGCTGAGGGAAATTAGGAAGAGCCTGAATATTGGTTTTGGCTCTTGAAAAGGTTGTCTGGAGTTACACCAGGTTTTAGGTGACATTTAAACAAGCTGCTGCTTTCAGGTGACCATGAGTGCTGATGACAGATTAGCTGCCCAAGGACTTGGCAGTAGTTCTGTCCCTGCCAGTGGAGGCCGTATAATGTGAGATTTGGTGCCCAACTGTTAACTGGAAATAAAGTAGTTCCTGAAGCACAGAACTAAAGCTTCATGCCTCGATGTTAACAAAGCCAGAATATGGACACCCTCCTCCAGTTCCTTACTGTTTTTTCTCTCTCACATTGCTTAGTGTCTTGCTGTTACCCAGATACATGCTGGGATAACAAACGATGGCTCTTACTTCTGTGTTCTTTCCCAGCATTAGGCACATTTCCAATATGGCAGTACTAAAAAATTAAGACTATTTCCAGCTGCGGTTGTAGTAAAACCATCTTTGTTTATTGAGTTACACTCCTGCAATCCTCTCCAAAGGGTGAGATCCTCAGCTGTATGTTAATGCCAGTATAATGGCATTAACAGCACTGAGCCACCACCACTGGAGAGAAACTCAGAATGTTTCTGTGCGTAATTGTGACGTGAACACAATGTGAGATTTTACTGCTTTTGGGGTGTCTAATGAAGCAGTGTGAGATGTCTCCAGGCCTCTTTTCAAGAAAGGTCTACTTCCCTCTAGTCATTTCATTGTTAGCTTCCACAGTACGAAATCAAATGAAGTCAAGCCGTGTGAAGTCCCTTTGGCTTGCTTTCCATCTGAGGCTTCCCAGGTTTCCATGGGAGACAACAGAGTAATCCATCATTAGTTTAAAACCCTTACTTTCTAAAGATGGTTTTTAACCCACACTGTACACAGGCCTGAAATGATGTAATCTCAGAAATGAGAGGATGTTTTTAGAATCTCTATTTTGCAGCTGGTTCCTGTTGTCTTTATTTAGAAAGAGATGCACAAATAATTCCTCAAAACTTGAGGAATGGGAAATTTCCATGTAAACTCTCACAGTTCTGATCTATCTGATGACTGGAGTTATCAAAAGCTATATTGTTCTAGGTAAAGACAAATTAAGAATGACTCAAAAAATGAAAAAAGTAAAATTGTCAGCAAATTTCTGCCCCACCACCAGGATTAATTCTTAGGCTAGGAATGTCTTTTGTCCCTGTACAGCACCTAGGACAGAGAGTGCTATTGTCCCTGTGCTCTTCAACAGTGCCCTCTGTGCTGCTTCTGCAAACAAATATCAGAAGTCAGGTTCTTTCAGATGTATCATTAAATATAGCATGCTTTGCACAGGTAGGTAGCTTTGACTCTATTAAAATTTATGTTACTCGTTTATTCCAAACTCAGATTCCCTACGTTCTCATCACAAGAACAAGGGGCAAATGATTAACTGTGAAGTTATTAATTTTCAGTTTAAAAAAAAATAGAATAAATACATTTTTAATGCTGCTTTTGTAATGTAATCCATGCTATATAATTTTGTTCTACTTTTAGCTTGGTGGAAGAATTGAAACATAATAACGCAGATTTTCCTGATGTCAGAAGTGGAATTTATGTACATGAAGTTGTTCCAAACTCACCTTCTCATAGGTATGTAAAACACATTATTTTCTTCACCATAATATATCTCCACATAGATGCTAGTAGGAAATATTTATGTTTATGTTCAAGTGCTTTCTCAGACCATTCTTGATTTTTTTTTTTTATTTAAACAATTACAAATTGTGGGTTAAGGTTTTATTTTTAAAGTTAATATATCTACTCACATCTACAAAAGTGAAATATTTTAATATCTGAACTTTAAAAATTACATTAGGAAACTCTAACAGCATGTAAATTTAATTAATGTCATTAATTTAATGATGACAAAGAACCATATTTTTTTTATAAGTATGTTGAATATGAACAAATAGAAACCTGGATTGAGTTTAAACAAGAAACAGGATAGCATTCACGTGAGACACTGTCAGAGCTGTTACCTGAGACAATGCTTTATCTTAGAGGAAAAGACTATTTTATAGAAAAGTTGGAAAATAAATAAGATACTTCTAAAAATTATTAGGAATTATTAAGGGCAATAAAAGTAGCTATTCTGAATTACACTGCTTTGTGTAGTTACGTTACACTTGACTTTGCTTTTCATGAAATTATGAGAGTGGTTTAATTCCCAATGCTTGAAATACATACTGAGGAGAGAAAAGCAAATGCATGACTTCTCTGTTTCTGCTTTGCTGTATTTCTGTGGAAGACAAAGGGAAAGCTAGGCCACTTTAACTCTTGTTGTGTTTTTGCTGAATGAAATGAATACTGAATGAAATTGAGTTCTTGATTCTATGAAATAGTATTAGTCTGATTTTGCATTTAGTGAGTACTACAGGTTGGGATTTTTTGCAGTCAGAAGGGTGGAATTTCCTTTCCTCTGCATAGAATGTATACTTACTGCCTTCTTCTTCTTTGCAGAGGAGGGATCCAAGATGGAGATATCATTGTTAAAGTCAATGGACGTCCTTTGCTGACTTCCAGTGACCTGCAGGAGGCCGTGATGAATGAATCACCTCTGCTACTTGAAGTTCGAAGAGGAAATGATGATTTATTATTTAACATTGAGCCTGAAGTTGTCATGTAAATAGAATTGAGGAAGCTCTCACCATAATTACACTCACTTACTCTGGAACACTAGATACCTCCTTTACAGCTACAGTAATTATACTTCCTGTTGACTAATGACAAGGTGGACTAACTTAATTGCCTGAGCCATTTCTGTACATAGTAGCTAGAATGAATTCAATTATGCCATTTAGAGAAGATGTAACTTTCAAACAGATTTAAGAACCACGTTCTGGGGAGAAGGAGGAGGAAAATAAATTTTGGGTAGCTGGTAAAAAATGGGGTCCACTTCCAATTTCTGCAGGTTCAGGGCAGATACAGTTCTGCATTTTGAAAGGCCAAAATGCTACTGGAAGTGAGGTAGCATGCTGAAAGGGGAACCTGTTCTTAAACTACAGTCACGGCTGCAGCAGAACCTAGCTATTGCAATGCACAACTGAGCGTTGTTGGGTTTTTTTATGTAACCTTTTCAATGTGAAACTAGTATTGGCAAAGCTTGTAGTTGTTCTTAGTGCTCCTATGCTACATGTCAGTGCAGGTAGATTAAATCTGTAAATATGGAAAGGAACACAAATGGTATCAGGCTATAGAGTGTTACACCTAGGTCATGCAATTTTGGAATATAGTAAATGATTCTTATAGAATTAATGCCTTATATGTAAATCAAAACGATGTGCTGAACAAAGTTAAGTTTGATAAAGTGCACAATTTTTTAAGAATTTCATACAAATTAGTTTTGCATTTTACTGATAAGCTTTGCTGTAAAATTGTTATACTACTTTTGGCTTGTACTTTGTATGTTTCTACTGTAAGGAGATTAAAGTTTACACAAATAATGTTTTGGTGTAAACCTCTTCTTCAACAAGAGTATCTTTCCTCCCTCTTTTGTCAGAATGGAATATGATCTCCCAAGATAAAATTTTCTTACATAAAATTGGGCCCTGATGTTACAAAAATCCTTTGCAGCCCTATGGTATAATTATTCCATGCCTATTTAGACTATATTTAGAAATGTTTTGCACACAACTGATTTATTTACACTGTTTCTTTTTCATACTTATGAATTATGCTTTGATGTAATTTAGAGAGTATTTAGTTGGGATCCTGTTGTCCTCAGTTCTGCCTGTATGTGACCAGCACCAGAAAAGCAACCAGTATTAACCCCATTTTACAGCTAGAGCATATGAGACTCTTATGTAATAAACCTGGGACAGAAATTGCTGAGAGCTAAATCCAAGTCTCCTAGGTACCTTAACCCTCAGGTTTATCTTACTCCATAGTGAATATTGCTATTGTTCCTAAGAAACTGAGGAGTATCTCTATTTGGAGCATTTTTTACAGCAAGCAGTGCTTTATAGACTTGCTTCTTTTGTCTTTGTTTAACTCCGTTTCACATTAGAGGGTGTCTTTAGGGCAGCTAGAACCTTCCCTTTAGTTTGTCATCATGTCTAGACTCTGGCTACCTCAGTTGACTTGTTTGTGACAAGCCTGGCACCATTGGTGTTACACAATACCACACATGCTGAAAGAGCAGTCTATTCATTACTTGCTGGCTGGCCATGACTGCAACTATATGCAGTTGAAAGGCTGGTGGGTGTATTCCTCCTAAAAATACTGTGTCCTTCCATCACATTTCCACCCGTGTGGTAGAATAATGGCATGACAGCCATGCTCTCACTAAAGAGCAGCTGCTTTCATCCCTCCAAAAAAAGATAGCTGAGTATTCCATATTCAGAGGGATCAACTCCTTTCCATTAAGAAAAATCTAAGCACCCTAGTTCACAAAAAGCAAAGGCATGTTCTGAATTCACAATAGCTGTGGCATGGAGGAGGATGCTGTCATGGCTGAAGTCACATGCATGTGTACCACATTAGGACTACCATTTTACATTTTGTGAGGGGTGTTTGATTTTCTGTCTATTGATTGATATCAGGCAAGTTAAAATATTTCCGTGGGTTTATTGCTAGTTTTTTTTCCCAACCAATTGTTTGGGAAGAAGACCTGTGGCATGACTAGCATCTCTCATTGTAAGAGAAGCTTTTTGGCTTCCAGATAACACTGTAATGATTTTGAAATAAATTGCATAACAACTTTTATTACAGCAATACTGAATAGAGTCTGAAAGTGACATAGCAGCATTAAAATTAAAACAATACACTGTTGTTGGCACTGGCCAAGTGCCGTGGCCTTTTAATTGTAACACTATGAAGGAAAGAAAGTCTGTTTCTCTACTCATCAAAAACTGTTGTGTTCTACCAACAATTCTTTTTTTTTTTTTTAAGCTTTCTCCGAAAATCTTGTGGAGCTTGCACATATTAGTCTACCAGTGCTATTGCATTGTAGCAGATTTCTCTCTGAGCGAATAAAGGTCACATGAGGTTCTTTTAGAAAGAAAGCATTGTCACTTCCTTTGGCTGCAGGACTGTCTGTCATTTCAGCTGTGGTGTTACTCTTAATTGCTGGGATGTAAGAGCAGACTTTATTAATTGCCTCTCATTCCCCTGACACTGGCCATAGTTACAAAGGTTAATTGCTCATTCTTAAGATAGAGTCAGCATCTTCTGATGCCAGCAGTTAATGTTAAGTCTATAGCACAACCTTGTTATCTTTGTTTCTTCGCCAAGAAAAAATAAAATGCAGTCAGTGTCCAAAACAAAACATTCAGGGGACTTTTCTGTTATGAGTTACTGGCTGTGTCTCTCAAGCAAAAAAAAAGGAAACAGAAATGTGATCTTGGTCTTTCCAGAAACTGGCAGCTGCAGCTTTTCCAAGTCAAGGTTGGGTCAACAAGATTAATGTTTTTGATATCCATCAGTCTGACCAGTCTTTTATTGCCACAAAGATTTCTAAAGCCTGTTCATTATTTCAGCAAGGCCTAATCATCAGAATAAGGATAGGGAGAGCTCACCAACAACAGTAAGAAAGACCTGAGCCTTTCAGGGTGCTTTCAGGCCCTGCGAGGCCTGCAGTGGGAGCTGCGCAGCTCTGCCAGCAAGCTGACCCCTGCAAGGGAACTCACTCTTGCCTCTCCTGCCCACCTGTGCCTGCTCTGGGGCTGAGCACGTTGAAGACAACTTTTCAGGCTCGATGCTGAGTAGAAAACAGGTTGTTAGGTAACAGGATGATAATACAATGGCATTCATCAATATATGGTGGCTGTTACGGGTGAAGCAGAAAACAAGAACAGGAAACAGCACAAAACAGGAAGAAAACATATTCTTAGCAGATAATCTTTTAAAGAGAAGATGGGTCTCTTGGATTCTTTTACATAATGAGGTGGGAATGACTCTGGGCCAGATTGCTGCACAGATGCCTGAACCAGGTACTTGAAGACTCCTTTCTTTAGGGAGGGCATCTTATGTTGGTCCCCTCAGAGTAGTCTGGGATAAGAGAGAAGGGTAACATGCCAAAACAGCAATGGCTCTCTGCAAGAGTGATAGGTAATGGAGAGACTTTAGATTCCAGTTAGTGTGGCACACACCTTATCACCTTCCCTGAGCACCAGGTAGCAGCTCCTATGGAGTATTTGTGGCTGTTTTCTCCCCCACTACACAAGTGTTCCATCGCATTTGTACCTCTGATATCAGTTTAGAAATGATGTTACTGGAAAGAGAGGCACTTTCCATTTGTAAAAGCTAGGAAAACAAAGATAATTACTTCCTATACAAGGGATATTGTAGCTTTATCCAGACAATGGATTTAACAAGGTGACCTGCTTAGTGGATGAGGAAAGAGTATGGATGTTTTCTACCTAGATAACACCAAGTTAGGTGGGAGCGTTGATCTGCTTGAAGGTCGGAAACCTCTGCAGCAGGACCTGGACAAGCTGGATCAATGGGCTGAGGCCAGTTGTGTGAGGTTCAACAAGGCCAAGCGCTGAGTCCTGCACTTGGGTCACAATAACCTCAAGCAATACTACAGGTTGGGGAAAGTGTGGCTAGAAAACTGTCTGGCAGAAAATGACCTGGGGGTGTTGGTCAAATGCTGCCTGAATATGAGCCAGCAGTGTGCCTAAGTGGCCAAGAAGGCCAACAGCATCCTGGCTTGTATCAGAAACTGTGTGGCCGGCAGGACTAGCAGGTGATCGTCCCCCTGTACTAGCGAGGCCACATCTTGAATTCTGAGTTCAGCTTTGGTTCCCTCACTACAAGAAGGACATCAAGGTGCTAGAGTGAGTCCAGAGAAGGGCGGCCAAGCTGCTGAAGGGTCTGGAGAACAAGTCTTGTAGGAGCGTCTGAGGGAACTGGGGTTGTATAGCCTGGCAAAGAGCAGGCTCAGGGGAGACCTTACCCCTCTCTACAACTACCTGAAAGGAGGGTTCTTTAGACTGGATATGAGAAGAAGCTTCTTGACTGAAAGAGTTGTCAGGCACTGGAACACGCTGCCCAGGGAAGCATTTGAATCACCATCCCTGGAGGTGTCTAAAAGACATGTAGATATGGTGTTTGGGGACATGGTTTAGTAACAGACTCTGTAGAGTTAGGTTAATGGTTGGACTTGATAGTCTTAAAGGTCTTTTCCAACCAACACTATTCTATGATTTTGTGACATGGGAGGTGCATGAGATTTGGGGCTTGCCTTCATGTAGCAGGCTGGCAGAGCAAGCTTGTGTTTTGCGTGCTGTGGCCACTTTGCTGCAGAGAGTTCTCTCATGGTCCAGGAGTCATACCTGCTGCAGCTCCAGGAATTTTGGCCTGTGAGGATCTGAAAAAGCTTGAAAAGGCAGCAGAAATCAGTTACTGAGGAGTTTCAGTGGTCACACAGAAATCAGTGCACAGCAGCTCTTCTGCATAAACTGTTCTCTGCTTTTTGTTCCGTATGTTCTGCAAAAGCTACTCTGCATGACTACATACCACCCAGCAGTCCCTCCTTTCTCTGGGATAAGAGAGAAGGGTAACATGCCAAAACAGCAATGGCTCTCTGCAAGAGTGATAGGTAATGGAGAGACTTTAGATTCCAGTTAGTGTGGCACACACCTTATCACCTTCCCTGAGCACCAGGTAGCAGCTCCTATGGAGTATTTGTGGCTGTTTTCTCCCCCACTACACAAGTGTTCCATCGCATTTGTACCTCTGATATCAGTTTAGAAATGATGTTACTGGAAAGAGAGGCACTTTCCATTTGTAAAAGCTAGGAAAACAAAGATAATTACTTCCTATACAAGGGATATTGTAGCTTTATCCAGACAATGGATTTAACAAGGTGACCTGCTTAGTGGATGAGGAAAGAGTATGGATGTTTTCTACCTAGATAACACCAAGTTAGGTGGGAGCGTTGATCTGCTTGAAGGTCGGAAACCTCTGCAGCAGGACCTGGACAAGCTGGATCAATGGGCTGAGGCCAGTTGTGTGAGGTTCAACAAGGCCAAGCGCTGAGTCCTGCACTTGGGTCACAATAACCTCAAGCAATACTACAGGTTGGGGAAAGTGTGGCTAGAAAACTGTCTGGCAGAAAATGACCTGGGGGTGTTGGTCAAATGCTGCCTGAATATGAGCCAGCAGTGTGCCTAAGTGGCCAAGAAGGCCAACAGCATCCTGGCTTGTATCAGAAACTGTGTGGCCGGCAGGACTAGCAGGTGATCGTCCCCCTGTACTAGCGAGGCCACATCTTGAATTCTGAGTTCAGCTTTGGTTCCCTCACTACAAGAAGGACATCAAGGTGCTAGAGTGAGTCCAGAGAAGGGCGGCCAAGCTGCTGAAGGGTCTGGAGAACAAGTCTTGTAGGAGCGTCTGAGGGAACTGGGGTTGTATAGCCTGGCAAAGAGCAGGCTCAGGGGAGACCTTACCCCTCTCTACAACTACCTGAAAGGAGGGTTCTTTAGACTGGATATGAGAAGAAGCTTCT